GGACCACACGTCGTACGGCACGCTCAGCAGCGGGCACGTCACCTTGCTGAACTCCAACACGTTCAGCACACCGCCCACCTTCAGCACGCGGTACGCCTCGCTCAGCGCCTTTGGGCGGTCGCTGAAGTTGCGGATGCCAAACGACACCGTGTAGCTGTCGAACCGCATGTCGTCGAACGGCAGCTCCTCGCCACTGCCGACGACCCACGAGATGTCGTTGTAGCCCTCCCGCTGCGCCCGCGCCTCGCCCTCGCGCAGCATCTTCTCGTTGATGTCTAGCACCGTCACCTCCGTCGCGTGGCGCGGCGACGGCGCGAGTCCGAACGACTGCTCCGCGCCGCGCACCTCGTCGATGATGCGGAAGGCGATGTCGCCGGTGCCGCCGGCCACATCGAGGAATTTGCCGCCGGGGCGCGGCCGCACGCACTCGCGCACGAAGTGCCGCTTCCACACGCGGTGCACACCGAGCGAGAGGACGTCGTTCATCATGTCGTACCGGCCGGCCACCTTGTCGAACACATTCTTGACGTAGGCGTCACCAAGCCCCATGTTGCAGCGGAGCGCGCTGCGGCGAAGCATCTCCTCTCACCGCCCCACTTCCTCACGTCTAGCCTTCCTTAACCACAGCGAAAGTGAGTGCTGTGGCTCCTTTGCGCACTTGGCTCAAAAAACAAAAACAAAAAACACTGGTGGTGGGGAATACACAAGCAAACACGTGGAACAGGAAGGCAACAACAAGAACAACAAACAAACAACAGACAAGGGGAAATGTTGTGAGTAGGCTTGCCCACAGCCACAAGAAGAGCAAGTGTGCGGGGTGTGTGTGCCCGAGAGAGGACGTTTCTCTCACTCTCAGACACACATATTCCACCCAGCGTCCCCCATGCGTGTGTANGGGGGGGGGGGGTCTGTCGACGCTGCACGCACAAGGCGTCCAGGGAAATAGGAGTGCAGCGTGGGGTGAGAGTCCGAAGCTGGCATGCAGCCGTCTTTTCTATCTGGCGGTGTGCGCGTCATCTCCCCACCACCCCACCGTCCACACACACAGACAGACAGACAGACAGACAGGCAGACAGACAGAGAGAGAGAGAAAGCGTCGTTATTCGACTCATTTGCATCTTTTGTTTCCATTTTTTTTTCCTGTTTGTTGTGAGGAGTTTGGGTGTTCCAATTCTATAGAGCCTTCACCGCTGCGCCCCACCCCAAGCTGATACCGCGCCGCCACCAAAAAAAAAGGTCAGCGGGAATGCCTCCCACTCACAAGGCCAGAGTAAAAACAACAACACCATGATCCAGTCGCCCGCACCGGGCCATCACGCAAGCTGCACACGACCTTTGTCATCTCCCACGAGAAGGCGGTTATACCTGCTCCACACCCCGGTGGCAGCGATCCTCGTAAATCCCACGCAGCTCAAGACTCTGCTGTACTGGAGCTCGAGCACCTCTCTCTCATCTTCACCTGAGGTGCCGTTTTTCTTCTCTGATGACGCATGCGCCTGCGGCACCAGCCCTCGGTTCGAGTCACGATAGAGCGGCTGCACATCCTCGGCATCATCATCGCTATCACTGCTACTACTATCGCTACTGCTGTCAGTACCAATGTCGAAGCATCTGACTGCGTCATCGACGGCCCCCATGCTTCTTAAGCGTTGTCTCTCTTTAAGCAGACGACCAACATCAAACAACAGCAACGAGTTGGATGACACGTGGGGACACGCAAGGAGTCCAACGGATCCCATCAGTGAAAGCCGTGGTGTTGGCAAATGAAGCGTCTCACTTGAACGCATCCCATCAGCGCAGTTCGCCTCTGCGAACAGGCGCATGTCGCTGTGCCCCGCACTCAGGCCCTGCACCTCCCCGCCCTTATTGTTGAGCCACACAACGCCCTGCAGCGGCGGGGTGTACGACGGCTGAAGACTGCATATGGCGGATGATGTCATGTGCACCGCGACGTACTCCCGCGCACAGCGCACATCCCACAGCTGCACGGCTCCTGTTTCTGTCCCACACACAATGTTGATAGGGTCGTTGCGGCACAGAAACGCTACGGCCGTCAGCGGGCCCTCCCCGGCCACGCGCGTGCTATTCCCACCAATGCTGTAGTTCCGCGCAAACGCACCGGTGCATGTCTCCACTTTGCCACTGCGACGGTCCAGCCAGACTGCGCGGCCGGAGGAGAGCGCCGCCACACCAACGTTCTCCGTGACCGCCACCACATCATTGGCGTAGGAGCTCTCACTTTCAGTGGTGACAACGCCACGTCTAATGCCGCCGTTTACGTGAGGCCCTGTCAAACAGAAGCGCTCCAGGGGCTCACTCATTTCCTCGTCTACATCCTCCAGGTCAAAGATGTCAAGGAACGGTAAACGATGATAGCTCGTTACAATATGCAGCGACGAGGATATGAACTGCACCGCTGAGTAGCGGGAGCCAATACCAGGCCACGCTTGCGACCCCACTACCACCACCGGTGGACTGTGCATGCGCCCCCCGTTCTCTCCCCTGGAATGGTGCCAGTTCTCCGTGCTGTACGTGGCCAGGCGTCTGTGCTGACAGACGATCGCAAACTGTTCCTGCATGTCGAATACAATGTCGGTAACAGCACGCTGCGCTGCCAAGGTGTCATCCTCGAGTGGCGCCACCGCTGTAGATAGTCTATCCCATTGCAGCTTCATATAGCGTTGGAGGTGTGCAGAAGCCTCTATTCGCTGTGGAAGGGCAAGGAAACCAGCGCTCCGCTGCTTCCAGTCACCAGAAGCAGCAGCACTGTTTAACATGCGCGTGGGATCTGCCAGCGGGCCGCCAGTTCTCCAATAACTGTGAAGGAGTTTGGGGAAGAGTATGCGCTCAAGGGAGAGCGGCCCACACCTCTCCGACACCCCCTGCTCTCTGGCAAACTGAAAGAGGCTTCGAATGTCGTAGGAGTCGCCGTCTGAGTAAGGTCGCTTCCGAGAACTCATTTACTCTTCTCCCGCTAAAGAGCACGGCCACCTTCTTGAAGGCCATGCATGCATTTATATATTGTAAGAGGAACAGTATGAAAGAGAAAGAGATCATAACAACAGGAACAGCAACACCAAACTGCTCTGACATTCATACACATGCATCTTAGCCTACAAAGCAAAACGAGGAAGATTCCCCCTTCATTTGCTCAGCGGCTACCGCAATGCCAACAAGTAGCGCGGTCATGAAACTTCCATCTCTTCTACTCAGCAAGATATTTCTTCTTGTTTCTTTCAAAGCCACAATGTGCGGACGTTTTCTCTCAAGAGTTCGTTAATTTTCTCAGTCAAAACGCACTCAAGACGTTCCCGCAGCTCATCGCCCAGTCTGTAAGCATGGGCAAACCCCCTGGCGAGATCTGCCGCTTTGTCGCCGCGGTGGACGCCGATGCGGCCTGTCTTTCCACTCGGAAGATCCACATCAACGTACAGCACCGGCTTCTGATGTTCTCGTCGCAGGTGCCGAGCTTCGGCATGCAGCGTGAAGGGCTCCACAACAGTTGGGCGGAGGGGCTTGTGTGGCTCCTCATTGGTGGAGCGAAGCATTTCTTCAAACTTGGGTCGGCACTTCTTCCGTGCCTCCATCATCCGCTGTACAGCCTTATCGAACCCAATTGTAAGTGGCACCGGTGATGCCCGTGAAGCCCAGACTTGCCTCTGCTGCTGCTGCTGCTGTTGAGGACGACTGGAGACGCCATCACAGGCACTGCCGTCGATAGACCTCTCTTCCTCTGCAGCAATGGAGGATGTTGTCTCACCGCTGCGGCCGATGAACGGCTCACGCGTCCACCACGCCAATGAGTCGCGACCCTTGTGAAAGCGAGCGGTTTCGGGGGCAAATGTGCATTCCTCCATCTCTCGCTCCTCTTTCGACTTGTAGGGCACCACACCGGGAACCTTACGCCGCGATTGTTGCTCACCCGCCTTTTCCCCTTGTTTCTCTTTTTCAGCACTAACAAGGTGTGCGGATGAGGTCCGGTAAATTTTCTTGTTAATTGCCGGGGCAAATGTACATCCCTTCAGCGGGTCGTACGGTGTCTTCTTTGTTTTCTTCTTCTCCACAGTTGCCGCTTCAGCGCTGCAGCTCAGTCCCAGCGAGCCTTCGGATGTCCCCCTCCGGTCATCTACTATGGACTTTCGGCGCACAGCCTTCTCATGCGGTGCTTCGGGTGAGGGGGAGTTGTCGTCATTCTCATTGCGGTTCGGCTTGTCCACCTCAGTGTCGCACTCCGAGACTAATAACAGCCGTCGTGCTTCACGCGCGGACGTCAGTTGGGGTTTCGCACAGCCTGAACCCACAGCCTCTCTATTTATCACCGTAGCGCTCGGCAGGGAGCGGCGCATGGTGGGTTGGGGGTCTCGCCTGATGGGCGAGTGAGCCCGCGGTGCCCCCTCCTCCTCACTTTTGCTGCTGTTGTTGTCGTTGTTGTTGCCTAACGACGATCTATTCTCGGTACCTCCGCCCGCTGGGGCAACGAGTGCCGCGCGGAGCACAACTGTGAAAACCTTCATGAAGCGATCGTACGGCACGCAACGTACACCTGCCGCCTCATCTATGCCAAGCGCCAGTAGGAACTTATCAACCATGGGGGATGGCGGCTGAAGCCCCAACTCCTTGAGCGCCGCGTACACTCCACCCAGTGTGATTTCGCCACTGCCAATATCTGCGTGGGAGCGCCACAGCGTTTGCACGCGCTGGCGAACCTCCTGCGCNTCCACCCAGTGTGATTTCGCCACTGCCAATATCTGCGTGGGAGCGCCACAGCGTTTGCACGCGCTGGCGAACCTCCTGCGCCTGTTGCTGGGAACTCTGCCAAGTACCATCCGTCATCATGCGCTGACTCTTGGCGTTGATGACAGGCCGGAACGTTTCCTCGGGATCCCCTGGCTTTGTCTTTGGTATGAGCGCTGGTTGACCGCCGCTGAAGCTACCGTTGCTTCCGCCGCCCACGCCACTGGGCCTCGCACTGCGGCGGTTGGTGGCGGGCCTGAATGTCTCGAAGAGTTGACGCTCCTCCTCGATCCTGGCCACGAGTTCGCGGTGGTGGCTCTCCCGTCGTGCAATGTCATACTTCTGGCGCTCCTCCACAGAGAGGAGGCCGCTCGTGAGGCGACGACTGTGTCTATTGATCTTTGGACGGAACGTGTGGGAGCCGTCCGTGGGCAGTGCGCCGCTGGACATGCTCACCTTTCAACGCCGACATACGCACAACGACACAGCCGAAAAGGGCAAAGGAACAAGGAGGAAAGAACAAACAAGAGAAATGATGTTGGCCGTGGTGGCTGTGGTGGTGCGAGGCACCTGTCTCAGGTTTTCATAAACCATCATGTAAATGTAATGTTTTGAAGGGGGGGNNCCCCCCCCCCCCCCCCAAAATGCTTCTCTTTCTCAGCTTATACGGGAATTGTCGTGTTATGCGTCAAAAACTTAACTCGGAGATTTATCATTGCACACAAACAAGCACACACAGAAACACAAACACAACTAGAAGAGCGACCCGGAGAAGGTGCCGACGAGACAGCTCGGATAGCCCACCAAGTGGTCCATACTGTACCGCACCGTGTTCTGCAGCTCCGCCACCTCCTCAAGCACGCCAACGAGCTCTTCACCACACTTCGTCATGAGTGCGCCATGGGAGCGAATGACGTCAGCAAGGATGCCCTGTACGAGCTCCACGTTCTCACGGCGCCGGAGCCACGTTGCCACAAATGCGAGAAGCCCGCGCAGGCAGCACTTGATACGTTCCAGTTCCTCCTGCGAGTAGGAGCCGCCCTCGGCGTAGTCCACGGCACGCTTGAGCTCCAGGTCAATGGCCTGCGGGGTCGACAGCGCAAGAAGATGCGCCATTAGTGCATCGTGTTCGTCGTGCAGCAACATACGCTGAACCGCGGTCGGCTCAGCGAGGGAGGCGCCAACCACACGCGCCTGCGCAGGCGCCGCATCCCCGTCGTTGCCAGCGGATGCAACCACGAGAAATGTCGGACGCAGCTCCTGCGTCGTGGCGAGGAAGAAAGGGACGTCGCGCTTCTTGGGCGGCAACAACGGCTGGTTCTTCTCCTTAATCTGCTCCAGCACGGTGAGGTTAAACCACGTGGAGCGGGGTACGCCGGCAAGCCGCAGGCCTCCAGAGACAATCTGGTCGAGTTGCTCTAGCTGCTGTTGCTCCCGCTGACGCCGCATGAGCGCGGTGTCCTTCGCCGCGTCGAAGAGCTCAGCCTCCACAGCAACATCACCACTACCACCAACCGCATTAGCCTCGCCCTTCGCATCATCGTCACCCTCTTCTTCCTCGTCCTCCACACCTTTTCGCAGCGACTCGTCCTTGGCGTTTTGGTCCAGGTTTTTACTGCCATTTGCCGCCGTCCCACCCTCATCCTCTTCCTCCTCCGCTTCGCCGTGGGCGGTGGGGAAGTGAAGGAGCGGCAGCTGCTCGACAGCGCACCCCTTCGGGTCCTCCACGATCTCTGGCACAAACCCGTAGCGCAGGTTGTTTGACCACAGGAACGCGCCACGCTCGCCTGCGTGCGTGGAGACCATGAATAGTGCATCAGGGTGGAAGCTAAGCGAGACGGCAGGGGATGCAAACCGGTACTGCCCGACGCAGGCAGCCGCTGCGAGGTCCCACACGAGCAACGCTGCGTCACCGGACGCTGACACGACGTAGCGATAGGAATCTGGTGCCAACGCTAGCGCCGTGATGGGGCCGTTGTGCCCGTCAAACTCTCGCACAGGCGTGGCGAGCTCTGCTGGAGTGAGACCCACGTCGGGGTTGCAGTGGTACACACGAATTGTGAAGTGCTGGGCCACAATGAAGAGCGAAGAAGGCTGGTGCACGCATGACTTGTTCATCGGGCACTGCGTCTCTACGACAGAGCGGAGGCTGGAGGTGAGGAGGTCCCACATCTTTATCCGTGCGTCGAGGCCCGCCGTGACGACAATGCTGTTGCCACAAGCGATTTCAACACACTCTACCGAGCTGACGTGGGCGCGCTCACTCGGGCGTAGGGCGCCATCGAAGAGCTGCCGTACGCTGCGGTTCTGAATGTTGATGACCGACACATTTCCACTGGAGTACCCCACAACGGCGTAGTTGCCACAGTCACTCATCGCCACGGCGCGCGCGGTGTGCATGGATGTGTTAATACCACTTAGCTTGCACTCCAGTGCACGTGTATCCATGCGCCAGCCACACATCTGCGCGGACGCCTCATGCAGCGAGACGACACTTGACCACTGGTAGTTCCGCGCAGTGCAGCTGGCGATGGCAATGGCGGGTGTCATCTTGAGCGCCTCGCGCCCCATCTGTTTTTCGCGCCCACGTCGACCCAGTTTACCCTGCGACAGTTCCCATGAGGCACGATCTGAGAAGACGTGCGTGACGCGCAGCGCCCGGTCTGTGCCTGCTGTGAGGAGGAGGTCCGTGTTATAGAAGAGGGCGGCGGTGCAGTTGCCCATGTGGCCGCGGCGCTCCCTCACCAACACCCCAAGCCCGTCAACGGTGTCGAAGCGGAACTGCATCAGTGCGTTGTCAGCGCCCGCCGTCACGATGGCAGCGCTATCAGTCGGCAGCGCAACGATGGAGTGCACGATGCTGGTGTGTGGTGTCTCGAGCACCTCACCCTCCGACGGCACCTGCTTGCTGCGCGTGAGCACGCCGTCGAGGCAGCGGTTGTCGAGATCCCACAGTGCCACCTCACCCGCGCTGGTGCCCGACACCAGCACGCTCTTGTCGGCGCGGAACGCGAGTGCCGTCACCGCCTCCTGCTCCTTGTGGTCAAAGGACATAATCTCCTCGGCGGTGCCGAGGTTGAAGACCACCACGCGGCCGCGGCTCGTGCCGTACGCGACGATGTCCTTGTAGCTGCTGGCGGCGAGCGACAGCAGCTGCGCGCCCGGCTCGCGCTGCGCGTACCACAGGCACACGCCCGTCTTGAAGTTGTACAAGTGCAGCGCCCCTTCCGTGGTAGCGACGAGGAGTTTATTGTTGTAGCCAGCGGGCAGCACGAGCGCACGCACCGACTCGCTGCGCTCCACGAGGAACTCGCCGAGCAGACGCCCCGTCTTCACCGCCCGCACGGCGATGCGCTTGTCTTGCCCGACGCAAAAGAGGAGCTCGTTGACGGCGAGAAGGTGCTCGACCTTGCTCTGCGTGATGTCGTGGTGCAGGCACGTCCACAGGGGCTTGTGGTGTGTGAAAGCGTGCACGCGCGGCCCCTCCGCGACGAAGCGGTACTTGCCCGCCTGCGCAACAGCACGCACGCGCTTGAGAAAGTGTGGGCCGCCCCGAAGCATGGAGAGCTCCTTCCCGCGGAACAGCTGGAACGTGTGGCCGGTGGCGACCATCAGCACAGGGGCGCCGTACAGCGTCGTGCTGCTGAGCGGCACCTCGCCGCACACACTCCCCACAACGCGGAAGGGGGAGAAGCTATCCATCAGCAGTACTGGTGGGGCTGAGCGCGTGTGCGTGTGTGTGAATGCCTCGCTCTCTCTCTCTCCCTACTTGTATGTCTCCCACCTCTTTGTGTGTAGTCCTTCCTTTTTCACCTCTCTCTCTCTCTCTCTCCTTTCCTCGTCTTCTTTCACCAATCTTTCTGTATGTCGTTCGTGTTGCCGTGTTTTTTTTTCAACAAAACGGTCGTTGCAAGCAGGCCAGTGAGGGAAAGAGAGCAAACTGTGTTGTGTGTGTGTGTGCTGAGTGCATGCGCGTCCGCGTATGCATGCGTGTAGCGGTGTGAGCGCAATAGATAGAGCGAGCGAGAGAGAGTGTGTGTATGTCTGTGCGGGCACCAAGTTCCGTGTGCTGCAGCCAATGCGAGCGCGCGCCCACCTCCCAGAGCTGCGGACTCACACCAGCGCCGCGCCTGCAGAAACGAGGGCCCTGCGGCTCGTCCCACGCCTGAGAGGAGGTGGGCCGAAGGCAGCGGGCCATTGCGTCAGGTGGGGGGAGGAGCAGTAACGAGAGAGAGAAGCGGTCAGCGGG